GGGTGCTCTTTCACTTCATTTCACCGTTGGAACCCCTTTTTCTCACTTTCATTTACATTTTTTCTTTCATTTGGTGGAGTTCCAACTGCAGTCTTTTGCACGGTCGACCCTTATTAGTCGAGCAAGAGCAATTTCTGTACATCTGGCGCTCGCCAGAGTACTTCTTTTAACTCCTTTTCCTCAACTCGTGTGGAGGGTCAATGAAATTAAGGGGGGTCGGAAGCTCTATCCGTGCCCTTAAAAACACATCCTCGAGTAGGCAAACCGCTCAACGGGTGGAAGTTTTACTTGTACTAGAGACAGCTTAGCTTCACCTTGTAGGAGTACCCCACTAAGGATCACTAAAATCTCTTCCAAAACCCGATTTTGTGCAATGAACGGTGCCACACACGTTGGGCTTACCCCATGTTTAAGATTTAATGATTTTGACATGGAGGACCAACTGCTTCCCATTTTCCATATGAGCACCCTGTTCGATACACGAGTCCATAACACAATCCAAATAGAGTCACCATTACCACATGAATTCAACGGTCTTAGCTCCACTAATTCACAAAATCAACTGACACAGCAGAGAGCTAGATAGGAAAAATCTTATACTTCAACATCCTCCATAGTGCTACACTACCTCCCTAGGTTGCACATTACTATAGAGACTGTCAATTCAAAGCATACTGAGCAGGCAATTTGCAAGGAAACACGTACTTGGAGCCCTCAAATTTAAAAATTTGGACAGTGGACTAGGCTCCAAGCACACAAACAGCCAAACATTCACCCGCATACATAATCGAACATCCCCCCACACTTAAGCACGACATTGGCCTCAATGGAGGAACGATAAGGAGGGTAGAACGAAGTTACCAGATCAAGGGTGAATGATGGTGGACGGGGCAGGCGGTGCATTCCAGGAAGAGAGAGTAATCAGAACACAAACACCACACAAAATCTCACAAAGGTTGAGCTATTGACTCTAAAACCAAATAACAAAACTGACTCAACCGAGGAGAAATAGAGAAAGAAATGCAAACCGACTGGTTGGGTTGCCTCCCAACAAGCGCTTCTTTCACGTTGTGAGCCAGACGATGGCTCCTAAGTTTCGGTCCATGCTAGAACCTCCTTGAAGTTGAGGTTCTCATCTATAAGGTGGAGTCTCAAGTCACAAGCAGGTGGTGTGGCAGGTGATGGAAGCTCGTGCACTTGATGCAGATGAAGTCTCCACCCTCGAGACCTCTTCTTCTCTTCTCTCGTCTCATTGCCCCAAACCAGATATGACAACATCGATTGACCACCATCGCGTCCACCAAGAGGGACCGATGTCGAAGTGGCCTTGGTCTGGCAAAGAGACACTGCAAATGGGTCCTTGCTAAGTAGTTCCTCGACGTTTGGTGGAGATATCACATGCAACTCATGGCCGGTGCAGGCCTCTTCCACCTCAACTTCGTCCTCAGCCTGGACGCCAATTGCTTCGTCAACCTCCCTTCCTTGTTCATATGGTATCACCCCTGGGAAATGATCAAGAACTCCTCCTGCTTCACTTTCGTCATCCTCCACAACTTCTTTCTGAACCCTTTCTTGCTCTTCGTCTTCTAGCACGGATTGGAGAGCAAGTTGCCAAGCAATTTCTTTCATGAGATTTTCTTGCATCTCCTCACTCATGTCCGCCTCTTCAAAGCTCAGTTTGGGATGTGGGAAGGTGTGGTCGGCTACGATAGGACATTCTTGATCATGATCTTCACGGGAGCTCTCCGTGATAACTTCTGTTTGCTCCACAATGTCCTTGTAGCCTTCGTCTTCCTCCTCCTCTTCTAGTATGATAGCATAAGGGTGATCTTGAGCAGGTTGTGCATAAGCTTTCTCAAGATCCTCGAGGCTCTTCTTTATGCTCAGGAGGGTCTCCTCTGTTTCACGGTAGGAGAACCCAGTTTGGGCATTGTCTGGGATATCCATCTTTGGAAAGGATGTCTCAGGTACTCGAGCAATCTGGTCCACGAGAAGCCTCAAGTGATAGTTTGGATCTGGCTGATGGAGGAATTCTTCTTGATAAGGAGATTGATCTTGAAATACCCAGGGGTCTGATTGTTCTTCGTAGGATGGGGGTTGGTACTGAAACCCGAATCCATAGTCTTCTCCTCCTTGATTGCTCCAGGGGGTCTCGGGGTAATACCACTCGGATGGTGGTGGATACCCCCAATGGTTGGAGAAGCCATGAGGATCCATGATTCAGATCTGCACCAACAAAAACAAAAAACACCCAAGTGAAAAGCAAGGGTGGAAAAGAAAAGAAAAAAAAAAGCTAAAGTAACAAACTTCTGCCTTTCCTAATAATCTAGAAAGTTCCCCGGCAACGGCGCCAAAAACTTGACTCGCTAAAACACAACACCTACAATGGCCAAGTGTAACCAATGAAAGGGACTGCAGTATAGTGGCATAAGTAATAAATATCGAATCCACGGGTCTCTAGAGTTACTATTACTCAGCTTCAGTTCATTATCTAGCAAACTAGATTAAGAATTGATTGATAAACTACTCTACTGACTACTCTACTAATTACAAGTTGGGAACTCACTTAGGTATGATTCCCCCTAGCTCCTCAATTAGGTCCAAGTTGCAATTACCTTTGGTTGATCTACTGTTGATTAAACTGCGGAAGATCCTAAATTAGCTTGGAATCTCTTAAGCTGACCAAGCCCTCTCAGACAGAATACCCGGCAGGCGACTAACCTTCACCGGGATAGACTGCTAAGGCGATTCACACAGATCTCCACTACTGGAATGAATTCCAGTACAAAGCAGTGAATTGATTGACTCTCGCACAACCAATTCACTACTATCAATCAAGGAAGCTCTCTTAACCTAATCAGATTCTATCTATCATAGGTTAAAGCAGAAATCAAGAGAATTTGATCAAGATCCAATTGACTCAATAAATCATGCCTCAATCGATTATAATCAAACAATATAGCATCCAAAACTTCATACAAGAAAGATCCTAACTCATGGAACTAGGGTTCCTCAAAACCTAAGTGAAGGGAAGTTACTCCATAGAGAAGAGAGAGACTGCAGAAATCTGATCTAGATCTTCAATCTCCATCTCCAAGCTTGATTCCTGAGCTCCAATGGCGAAGAAATCCTCCAAAATAGCTCCAAGAATGTTTCCAAGTCGCTCTCTCTCTCTAGGGTTTGTCCCTTGGGTGTTTGGGATCCAAAACCCAGCTCCCTCCCTTTTGGCTCGGATTAGGCTTAAAAACAGGCTTCCCCGAGTTGCACGGCCAGGTGCACGGCCGTGCACAACACCCTTCTGGCCGTGCACCCTCAAAACGCACCGTTTCACTTAATCGATCTCAGCCATCTTGCACGGCCAGGTGCACGGCCGTGCAAGGCCTCGGCAGAGAGCGCACGGCCAGAATTATATGTTGCACGGTCGTGCGCCTCCCTGGTCTGCCCGTGCAGCTTGCTCAGCCTCTGTTTAATGCTTCGTTTCTCCCTCGTCCGGACTCCGAATCAGTCGCCGTTTGATCCCAGACGCTCGTAGTCTAGTCCTATTTCGTTTCATAACAAGCTTGCATGATTCTATGTCCATAAAGTGAGGTAGAAATCAATTCTTCTTCAGGTCATGCCCGAGTTTCTGCTCCCGAATCGCCAATTGATCTCTGATTGACTTGAAACTTGCGCCTATGCTTCACTTTATGTGCTAGGACCTGAAATGTGACAAAGGAACACAACCTAGCATAAAATAGGCCAAAGACACGGTAATTCAAGCTCAAACAATCAAGAAACAAAGGGGAAAACATGTGCAAATACCGAGTCATCAGCATTGTACCTAGTCAAAGAGCCTACCAATTACATAAGACACAAGGTGCTCAAGAAAGCAAATCAGAATGCGCCTAGGTTTGAAGCTCAGACAATCGAGTACAAAATAGCTTCCCAAGAGAGGAAAGCAGGTTCCCAGAAGAGGCTAATTCAGGAAAGCAGCTTCCCAGAAGAGGCGAATTCAGGGCTCAAGGATATCTAGTCGCATAGTGTGTTCTGCTAAAACATTTTAGCATTTAGTTTTGTTTCTTCCTTTCCAACGAATGCCCTCTTTATGGTAACGATTTAAGGATATCTAGTCGCATAGTGTGTTCTGCTAAAACATTTTAGCATTTTGTTTTGTTTCTTCCTTTCCAACGAATGCCCTCTTTATGGTAACGATTTAAGGATATCTAGTCGCATACGCATAGTGTGTTCTGCTAAAACATTTTAGCATTTAGTTTTGTTTCTTCCTTTCCAACAAATGCCCTCTTTATGGTAACAATTTAAGGACACGTTTATTATTCAGCCGAATAAACACAAGTACACAGCCAGAGGCTAGTTTGCCAAACAGAAATGGAACCGCTACAGTAATCTCACATTGCAGACAGATAACCAAAATAGCAGCAACAGAAACAGCCACCTCTGAGATTCGCATAAAAACTAATACAGATAAACTGGCCAGATTACTTGCCTCGGGAAACTTATTCCCATCACGTCTTCACGAAGTAACCCATCGAAATTTGCTGGAGGATCGTCCAACAACCAGCCCAATCAAGTGGACCCTTAATCCATGTAACACCCTACCCTATACGTATTACCTAATCATATTGTTCATACAATTGCAGCGGAAATAATCTCGGGTGTTACATTAATTATCAAAATTTACCCAAATAAAATTTCGACATGAATTACTCGCGTAATGGGCTAACAGTTCTTCCATCTAATCCTGCAAAATAATTCATCTAAATCCATGCATTCATAGACAAACATATACACTCACTGCCATATGCATTGGCTTTTCATAGCCATAGTCACCGTTTCATGTTACACAACTGCATACTATACTAATACATATCATAGTCGTCATAACTTACACAACCACATAAATATACACATATCATCAACTTTCCACACCTATGGATATCTCACACTACATCAGAAGCTAGTATGCACATGAAAAACGTTCTCAAAACATTTTACAAAAAGGTGTGGATCACTGGCCAAAATCCCGAGTAGTAGTCCAAGCACAGAATAGTTGAAGACCATACCTCATCTTGCCTTCAACTCTTGCTCAGCTCCCACCTATACACCTATCTACTGCTGCTGATGATGATCTGCTTACACATAGCATAAGCAGAGGAAAAGAATAAAAGAGGGCCAGCTCATAGCTGAGTGAGATAATCATAGCATCGTGAGTTCATAACAGAGCATACCCCTACCATACATCTAGCAAACAAGCCAAAGCACTAGGATCAGACCTCAGGCATCCGACATCCCAATAGGCAAAAGACTCAACCATCTTGACTTATGCATATGCATCTTATCATGTTTTACTTATAGGCGCCTGGCTACTCCCATGCTAATTACTTATATGCATCTTATCATGCATCTTATCATGTCTTATCATATCGGACCCACCACTGCCGGTGTAGTCATATCGGACCTGACACCACGATGGGCGTGGTCATATCGGACTCAACACCACTCTGGGTGTGGTCATATCTCATGATGAATCAACGGTCAACACCACATCAGGGGTGTGACATAACATATCATAACGGAGTAATAGCATGGGGAGCCCTAATTACTATGTAATTGACCATGAGACCAAATCACTCTTACTTGGTAATCTTATACATAATCCATATCTCATCTTGCTTACTCATAATTCGTTACTTACACATGTACTTGACCCGGCCACAATTGGCTCAACATAGGTAAATCAGGAGTCGTATAATTGCACTTCCTCGGGATAAACCCTCGTGCAAGTCATCCTCCTTAAACATCATAATATCACCAGAGAATATATATTTTCCCACTTGTGAATCCAAATACAACCACAATATCACATCATGTCAAAACACCTGATCGAACAACCATGAAGTCATATCAACGGTTAAGCCACAAATGGCAACATGTATGCAACCATCAACATAAACAAGGTCCATATCGGATAGGGCAAGTCAATAATATCATACAACCATCCATGGTTCATCATATAGCATAAAAGTCCATACACCCCTAATCATGCCATTCTAGTTCACCTAGGTCAATTCTGAGCATAAGTATAATTATCGTGATACGACAAACCCGGTATGCCGTGCTAATCCCTCACCAGTTCTGGTCGTTCAAACACCGGTTCTAGCCTCCCGTACTAAAACGTCAATTTCACGAACGAACCCCGAATTAAAATCCGAGACCGCCCTAATATCCCCTGCAGTATCCCCGTCAATATTAGTTCTAGGCTCCGGGTCAAATTCTCGATAAAAACACATCAAACCCTGGCCGGAGCTAAATTCAGCGGTTTGGACCCCGGCCTAAATAATAGCCGAAATTCAGGGATTAGAACTAGAGGATTGATTACCTCGCTGCAGGAAGCTCGTATATGAAATTTGGGCTCAATCCGGCTTCCGGATACTCCGAAACCCTAATTTGGCTTATCGGGAATTCAAGAAATTCCTGAATCAAAAACTTGTTTTAAAGCTCTAAATCGATAAATCACGATGAATAGATGAATTAGGCATTACTTACGGGATTTTTGGATCACTAGGGCTCAAGATTGGAGCTCTCAAATTTTCCTCTGTCGCTCCCCTGAACTTGTCCGCTCGCTCTGCTCTCGGTCGGAATAAAAGGAAAAGAACGAGAAGATGGAAATGTAAAGGTCGGGGACATTTAAATGAATTTTGCGTCCCGACCGCTTTATATATATATATATATATATATATATATATATATATATATATATATATATATATATATATATATATATAATTAATACGTATACTTATCCGATCGATCTATAATCCGATTTTCGCCGAAATACTATCAAAACGCTCGATTTTAAATCGCGAACTTTCTAGCAATCGAAATATGGGTTTTGCCGGAATGGGATGTTACAATCCATTTTTAAATAAAGATGGAAGAACCCGAAACATGATTAAAAGCATCACTAGTGAAGAATGTGGCTAAAATGAAAGAGGTCACATATCGTCCATTCAAATAATATTTGTCTGAGCTCAACCAAACTTGAGTTGCTCCCCCTATAAATGTAATCACCCTCTTGTTTCTTCATATCTTCTTCAGACAACTTATCAACTGTGCTAAACATGAAACTATCAAGATCGACTTCCTTGTTCCTCGGATCCATTCTGACCTGGAAAAAGAAAACCACCAAACAAGCTCCTCAACAGATCATGTCAAAGACTACTGAAAGAATGGACCAAAAACACACATGATCCTGGAAAGGGACATCTTAAGCACCTAATTCCGATACACATTAACTCGGTTTATCACCAATGCATAAAACCGTCACCATAATTCGTCAAAACCCTTACCTTGTCAAAGTTAACCACGAAGATAGAAGCAGGACTGGGCCTGTCGGGGTCTCCGTTTAGTTCGAACCCCACGGTTTCAGTGTAAAAAAATGTAGGAATAGAATTTTTGAAATACAGACTCCACAGCTAGCCTCCGCTTCAAACAACGAGACCTCTCTTCCCAAATCAGTCTACAATACACCTCATCCATATCAGAGATCCATCCAAAATCACAGCATTGTAGTTCGAAAATCAATTTCGGCAATTTCAATTCAAAATCCCTTTCTTACCTCCCTAGCAGATCCTGAAGGAACCATGGCCTCTTTCATTGCCTTCTCCAGTGCAATCATCTCCGCCTGCCCAGCTGTTTACACAAGTGAATTACTCATATAAGCAACAATTAGTTTTCATTCAAAGGGATGGGGGTGCTTATGCTTGCACAGCTTGACGCCGAGATTACCTGCGATATTCGGCCAGTTTAGGGTTCAAACAATCGATTGGGAGGAATCATAGGACAGGTGTTAAATATAACAGTCGAGAACGGGAAAACGAAGAAGAATAAGAGGAGGAAACAGAGTGGTTCAATTATCGCTGCCATTTTCTGAGACGGCTGGGATGATTTACAGGAGTAGGGAGGAAGAACAGGGTTATTCCCAATTCGAACAGAAAAATGGAGAAGAGAGAAGGTCCAAGGTCGGGATTTGGAGGAGAGGGGTAGGGCTGCGGGTGGGGCAAGGTAGGTGTCCTTTCTCTTAGGGTGGTTGGGTTTTGGGTCAATTCAATAACTAAACAGAACCAACCCGATTTGGTTTACAATGGACTAAAATGAAAGAAAAACTAATTCTATGAGTTGATCTGTAATTTTATTTAATATAAATTCCGAAAAAACAAATCATTTAATAAAATTTAATCTCAGCCGTCGAGATCACACGTACGGTCAAGATCACCCAAGGTACGCCATACCCCGGAATTTACCCGGGGTACGATAGAAGCCACCATATATATATATATAATACGTATACTTATTCGATCGATAATCCGATTTTCATCGAAATACTGCCAAAATGCTCGATTTTAAATCGTGAAATTTTCTAGTGACAATAATACAGTTTTAGCCGAAACGGGATGTTACATTTGCTCTCCTATTCCAAATTTAAAGGCTGGGTGACTACTAATCCATCACGACATCCCTTTTGAGAGTGGGTGGACCGAAAAATATTTAAATAAAATAATTATTTATAATAATTTTAAAAGTAAACGACGTTCTTTGAGATCATTGAAATCACTCAAAATAGAATCTAAACTAAATTTCTTAGTTATCTTTTTTAGTGTAAAAAACTCATCATTTGTTTTGTTTCGCAGTTTATTCTTCACTATCAACAAAATAGAATTCTTTTGACAATCATACCTTTGTTGATTTCTACATAGATAAAAAAAATAGATTATATAATTTCTATAAAGGAGCTACAATGGATTAAAGTAATAAAAAGAATTTCCAAGAAAAGTAATAAAACGAATTAAAAGGAGTGGGTTTTTTGGCTGCTTTTAATGAGGACATGATTTCCCCATTGTCAACAAGACACAAATATGGCTAATAGGTTCTATATGAGTCTATTAATTGATCTAAAGAAATCTTATTATAAAACTTTTCGTCAATAATGCGGGTTGGATCCAATCCTTAAGCTTCTTCATTGCTTAAGGAGGTTCTTAAACTATTTTTATTGGTGGATACTAGAATAGGTAGTTAATGATGGTTAGTAGTTAACATTTAGTTTGAATAAATAAGATATTATAAAAATATAATTAATATTACTCATTAATGATTCTCTTTCTCTCTCTCCCTTGATCTTCTCCATAACCCTCTCTCCATTACAATGAAAAGAAAATTCGAAATTAATTTAATTAAATATTATTATTTAATATTTAATAAATTCGAACTTCATACTTTTTTACTTTTTAAAATTAAAATTAAAATTATATGCTCTCTCACTTCGTGGAAACTTGCAATGCATTATTAACATTTTTCAATGACATTATCAGCATTTATGAAATGAATCGTTATTATTATACCTCATCACTATTAACGATTTCAATATACTTATTAATTATTTACAATTACATTATTAACAATTTTGGATCAATTGTTACCGTTTTATGGTTTCATCATTAACGCCTATGAATGAATCATTAAAATTATGTAACATGGTCATTAACAGTTTGAATAACAATATCATTGATTTACAACATCTTTAGTACTAATGATTCACATTTTCACATCATGTTTATAACTATCTAGTCATGGCCTCTTTCAATGATTTCTAATGACATTATTAACATTTTATGATCAATTAATATTGTTTTACATTATCATTCTCAATGATCATAAAGCACAATATTGATTTTCAACATCTTGGGTACTTGTGACACAGTGAACCTGTGTGATTCAGTCAAACAAACATTGTCAAGAAAAATATTAGTTCAAGCAAACTAACATTCACGCCTCAATACCAAACTTTTAATACAATACAATACATCATTGATAATGAAAAGTATTTCGTTGAAAATAAACACAAAACATCAATATAATAATGTCCGACTTCAACATTATAAAATGACATTAAGCTTTTAATAAAGATATTGAAAACCAATAATAACAAATGAGCAAGTTACTTATAAGGAAATAGATTTTTGTAATAAAAAATATTAATAATATTCAAATTAATTTTTTAATGTCAAATAGCACTAAAAACACATTAATAACTAACATGTGTTTAATGGATAATGCAACCAAAAACTTTGATAATGATAGCAACTGATAATTGTTAAGTACCTTACTAGATATTATTAATATCTTGTTTTTTCAAACATTGATAATGCATATACACACCAATTAATAATGACACCAACTATGTTACTAAATTAGCCAGAAAGGTTAATAACTATAGTTATATCATTAAACACAAATCACTTTTGCTAATGTCATAAACAAACGAATACCTAACAAGTATGCTTCTTGATAATGACATTTGACAAAGTTACAACATAAACGAAAAATGTTAATGATACAAATCAATGAAATAAATTGTTGCTAATGGTTGTATTGTGCTTGCAAAAAGCATTGATAATAGCACTTCAAATGATTATAAATCATTGAGAACCAAATTGATAATACGATGTAATAGTAAATGAACTTCAAGTACCAACAAATTAAAAACACAAATTCACTTTTGCTAATGTTACAAACAAAACAAAACATAAAAAGTTAATAATGTCATATAATATTATTAAAAAACCTGTTGAACAACATTAATAATAACACAAACGAATACCTAAAAACGAAAAATCTTAAACCCATGCAACGAAAAGCCCTAATGATGATTTAATTTATAAATATTGATATACAAAACGTTGATACTAAATTGCAAGTTGCCAAGATGTGAGAGAGGTCATATATTTTTAATTTCCATTTTAGAAAAAAAATTATTAAATTCGGGTTTCATTAAATATTAAATAAAACTAATTTTGTATTTTTTTATTATAATGTAGATAGAGGGTTATGGAGAAAATCATGGGAGGAGAGAGAAAGAGAATCATTAATTAATTATATTAATTATATTTGCATAACTCCATTTACTCTTAACAACCTATTAACTACTAACCCACTTTAACTACCTAATCCACTATCAACCAATAGGAAGGCTTTAAGATTCTCCTTAAGAAATGAGACTTAAGGACTTGAACTCAAGCCTCAATAATGCGTAAGGTAAACAACTTATTAGTATATTCCGTCACAATATTACTCTAATAGTAAGAATTTAGTTTTTTTTGTCATATTTTAATGATACCAATCGTCATTAAAATAAATCAACTAATAGTTGTCAAAAAAATATTGTCATGAATATAAATAATAGAATCGTATAACTCAACACATTCCGGCCAACGGACCG